GGTTCTAAGAGGGTTCTTGGGGGCTCAGAGCAGGGCCGGGTCCCACCTTGGCTGGGGGGGGAATTGTGTCCCCGTTATTTTGCTTTCCCTGGTCTGAGACCTCCTCCCGCCCTGGGTGCGGTGGCAGGGGACGCACTGCCAGAGGATGCCCAAATGTGTCCCGGAGGAGGCGTGCGCAGCCCCAGCTCTGCGTGCCTTCGCTCTGGGTTTCTCCTTCTCCTCCCATCCCTTCCTTCCCACCTCTCTTTCTTGGGGCTGGGTAAGAAAAGCAAGGGCTCCGTATTAAAACAACTGCCGCTTTTTCCTGGAATTGGAGGAGATGTTGCAGCTTGTCCTCTGCTTCCCCGTGGGAAATTCCTACGACTGTTTTTGTATTCCCCTGTTTCTCCTCCCTTGTGCCCTTTCCCCCTCCTTCCCCATCTCCAGGTTGTGCAGCAGTGAAGAGGATGCTCTCCGGTTTCCACCGCCGCTGCTCGCTGCCAGCTTTTATCATTTATGGTTTGGTTTTCCAAGTTCACGAGCTGCAGTCAGGTAGGGATCCCCCGGCGTTTGCTGATGCCTTGCTTCCAGCCTGACTATCCTCCCGGCTGCCAGGGCGGCTGCTCCCCGTCAACGGCAGAGCACCGAGCAGGGTCGGGCCCTTTGCCATAAACCTTGTCCCCCTCTGAGAGCACCAGCATCCCTCTGGATCCTGGATTATTCCTCCGGCCATGTCAGCACAGGCATTGGCACAGCCTCGCTGAACCCAGGTGGAGATCAGACGATGCTGATGACTTGATCATAGTCTGCTGCCATTTCCCTCCCCACTTTCCCTGGGCCCAGCACGTTCCCTGCACGCCATCGCTTTGCCGGGCTGTAATTCACTGAAGGGAAGCGGCAACAAACACAAGAAACATTGAAAAAAATAGTCTGGGCTCTTTTTCTGTCAGTCTGCTGACCTGAAGCAGCTTCTTCCAGGCAGAACTGGCAAAAGGATGCAGTAGCACAGCGGGCTTGAAAGTCCGCTTGCCAAAAAATA